TTCTGAGCTCTTACAGTGACAAATCGATAACACTTAGTTTGGTATAAAACCTAGATTTCGACTGGTCACTGTATCATGTATTCAATTCTCTATGTTTTTGTTGACAGAAGCGTATAAGTCAATTTAAAATTTGTTTATCAGTCTAGAATCTGCACTGCTTAAGGGTTATATTTTTCAAGTTATTTGCACACTTAAAGGTGAAAATGTTTGTGAATTAAGCAAGTTTTGTTTGACGAAAAGTGTTTGGGACATGGTAGTGTCATAAATTTACCAATATCCTATCAAGTTGTTATTGATTATTTATTTATTATTCTTTTGGGTTCCAAGTGGAAAATATAGCTTAACTAACATATCTCCAAATCGTTCTATTGTCTACCGTCTTCTTCAGCTGGTTAGCTTAACGACTGCCCATAATCTCTCATCTCCTCCTCGCCACACGATCTCCCCAATGTCACCCCAGCACCGACGACCCATTCGTCACTTCCCTTTAGAATTCCTTTCGAGCAATGACCTGCATTGCGCGCGATGTTATTCACCGGCCTCCTCAGTGTGTACCCGATCCATCTCCATTTTCTTCTACATATTTGTTGAGCAGTCGGCTCTCACCTGTTGGTTTGTTGCCGGCCATAGTTTCTGGTGGCTTATTCTTTCTGGCCCGCCATTTGATTTTCAATATGGAGCCAGCGAAGTTGGCAGCTGTAGGTAAAAGTCTATAACTTGTTGGAAATGCTTGTCGTGGCGCGCAGTGCAAGTTTCTGACCTGTTTAGAAGAAATGACCGAATTCTCATTTGTGCTGAAAATCCGAATCCTATTCTTTATGCTGGCTGAGTGCGTGCAGAATATTTCCGAACTGGTTTCAGGTTGATGAAGGTGAACCTTACCCTCCCGATTCTGACTTTGATATCTTCATCCGTTCCGACTGCCTGTAGTTCAAATGATGCTTCCTAAACAAATGAAAGAAGTTACCTCTTTCAATTTTTCCCCGTCTATGGTGATGCTGTTTGTTTTCTCTGTTGATTGCTTATGTTCACCACCTAGCCCTTCTCTATGTCCACCTGTAGTCGTGTCTTCACCGCCTGCCTCTACAGCCAGCTTGTTGGGTTTTCGCATGCAAATCTTCTAGTTTGTGTGACATTAAGCATAAATCGTCTGAGAAATTCACATTTTCTAGAGTCTTCCTATCGGTCCAACGTGTGCCTGTCTTCTCACTCCATGTATGGCATTCCGCATAATTCAGTCCACCACAATTGAGAATACCATCGGTGATAATAGGCCTGTGAAGTTGAATCATTCAACATTTCATTATTCCTTTTATTCTGAAAATCTACCAAAATTAATATCATACCTCTGAAGACTCAAGTTTAACATCACTTATGTAAAACTTTAAAATTTTCTCAAAATTACTTCGTAAAACCCATTTCAATTCTAACCTAACTAAATGGAGAAAGTTACAAAACCTTAATTAGGACGAAAAACGGTTCTATTTTTAAATAAAAATTAGTAATTTTAATCCAATTATACAAATTCAATTTAATGAAACAATTTTTCATGTGATATGAGTTATGTAAATTTCACGGGTTTACTTGATGGTATGATCATTAGCAGAAGATATAATGCTTAATTTCATTTTGGTGTATGTCAAAAATTTCAGGCAACTGACATCCTCTTTGACATTGCATAGATTACTCAGAAAGTCAGTAAATTAGCATAATGGAATGTAATACTGATTGATAGTGAGTAGTTTGAAACTGCTCACGTCAACTCGTAGAGCTTGGTAGGCAGCTTGAAGTGATCCCTGTTGACTACTACTTACCGGATCAAGCTAGTCACGTTTTGTGGTGTAAAAATTTGAGGGTCCCCAAAAGGAACTATGGTGAATTTTTACCTCAATCTGTGTAATTTCTAAATTACACATTTGATTCTCCAATATTTAGGCACTGAAGACACCAGAACAAAACTAACAAGTATCGATCGCAATCAACAGGGTAATTGGAAAGATAGTTACCTCTTACGCCTACCTGTATGGACAGCATCCTTTGAACCACAGACGGTACACATAACAATGTCAAAACCAACATCCAGGAAGCCAGATAAGCGTTCATTGCTTAGCGTGGAAGTCAGCTGCACTCAGGACAAAGAAGAAGGTTCAGAGATTCAGCACTAATGTCAAATCAGTGATTTTATATGGTTCAGAGACATGGCTTGCGCGTCACGGAAAGCATTTCCATCAGGCTACTTTAGACTTTCACTAACAGTTGCCTTCGCACCATTCTGAATATCACATGGACGGTCAGCTGGAAAGAATGAACGCTAGATGATCCTGGTAAAAAATCAACCTAGAACCTTCCACCTAAAAAATGCTAAAGAAGTTGGAGATAGATCTCACATAAAACACTGTGGAGGCCGTTGATTGACATCACGCCACAGGTTCTCGAGTAGAACCCGAGTAGGAAACTATGAGTGAGGCATAGAGGAAATCGTGTGAAGGAGGATGAAAACTTTTGTGGAATTGTGGAACCAGCTAAAAAGAGCCACAGAGAACAGAACAAAATGGCGACGTGCTGTTGAAACCCTACTTTCCACATGGAATCCAAGGGAATGATAATAATAATTTTGTACAGACACCAAAATTATTTCCAATAAAGCGCACATCCAGTTGATTGAAATACTTTCTAGGATATTTATTCCAGAAAAAAAAACTATTTTATCAAAATAGTCAAATCTAAAAAGGATAAAATTGGCTATTCAATGCCTTGTACTTACTTTTTTCTGTTCATGTTTAATGGCTAACTTCAATCTGTCTAATTTGAATGAATAAAATTTCCTTTGTTGTTTTATACAGTGTGATTCTGTAGGTTCATGTGTTTCACAATCAAATCGTCTGACTGTTGTAGTAGGAGTATTACGATTTAAATTTATATCCCTTTCTGTGGTTATTGTTGTTGATGTTGCTGATGATGACTTTGAGCACATACGACATCGACAAGACGGTAGACAACAACACCGATAACAACAACGAACTATCTTATTTTGATTATTACTATTACCATATTATTATTATTACTATTATTAAAACTATTACGTTCATATAATTCATGTTTTGATTGTGAAGTGTTTATAGTTGTATTAGACGGTAAGCGTTGATTAAAACCACTTGTTGGTGATTCCCAATCAAAACTATTTCTTTTACGTTCAAAAAATATTGATGAACAACCTTCAGATGTATTCAATATTGTTGGTAAACGATCTTCATTAGAAATTCTTTTTCTTGAAGTATTTTTTAACTTAGCATTTCCATCATCATCATCATTATTGTCAGTAGGGCTAGAGTGTGTTTGTGAATCTTTAAAATCTCTTGTAACAAATGATGGTAGCTTAGCTAGCGTATACGATGTAGTCTGATCAACTGGTAATTGTAAGTGATCACTATCATTCATAGAATTATCTGAATAATTCAATCGTTCACTTTTACTTGTTGACGGATGCAGGTTAGTCGTACTAGCTGAATCATCACATATACTATGCTGACTTTCTATACTTAAAGCTTGATTAAATTTTGAACATGAATAAGTAGGATGATTCCATGCTGTATACCTACGATGATGTCTTTTCCTGGAGAAATTTGATCTCTCCAATAATTCACGCCAATCATTTTCAGTCTCACCATAATTTTGATTTGAATCAGATTGATTACATATTGACGTATTCCCATTATCATTGTTGCTTTGATGACAATGACAGTTGGGAGAGTAACATGGTGCAGATATATGATTTGATGGTACGGTTAGATTGTGCATTTTCCCTGCTGTTTGATTATCGTCCGATTCATCACTACTAGCCTCACTACAACTTTCATCACTGTCAGTCCCCTTACTGAGTACAGCGACAACTTCTCCAGTCCCCCGACATAAATCCAGTAAATCACAAGCATACTTTCTACACTGTTCACACAATGAAAGAAATGTTTCCTTGAATTCATTTTCACGTGATGCTAAGTGTAATAGCTCTGAGGATAATTCAAATGCTGTCAATATTGGATCTGGTGATGTCAACGATATCCATGCTGGACTAGCAAGAGCTCTATACGTGTTAATTCGTTGAAGGGTATGCTTTAAAGGATCATCAGAGAGTAAACGATGACAATGCTCACAAGAACATGACGATTTATGCGGTTCTTCAATTCTTGCACCACGATTAATTAGCAGCTGTAAGATTTCAAATTGATTACAAATAGCTGCTAACATGACAGGTGAGATATCAGCAGGAAAATCGTGACTTTCTTCTTCACGTTTACCAATCCCAATACACTGGGTTGTCCATGATGTACCTAACATTTCTTTAGTAATCGATGGATGATCAATAAGCATTTCTACTATTCGATATACACCCTCTTGGATAGCATATAATATTGCATCACCAATTTCTATACCAGGCTGATCAAGCAGAAGTTCAACTAATTCAATATTTTCATTATCCACAGCAATTTGTATAGCTGTACGACCCAGTATATTAACACAATTTACATTGACACTATTTGAAAATGATAAACATCGAATTAGCGTTGATTTATCTCCACGTTCTGCAGCTTCTAAAAATATCCGCTCCAATGGTGTTAATTTATGCTTCTCTCTTAATGGTCCTAAGGCAGTTGAATAATTCGGTGTTTCATACGGTGAACGTCCAGAACGTCTATAACGTTTAGGTCGACGTCCATTATTTAAATATGGTGTGTCATTTAATCGTGGTACACCTGAATCACTTATTTCAGTATCTGAATTTAAAAATGCCTGTAAAGGATCTATACTGTGTTGTACTGGTTCAATGAAATCAGTTTTTGTAGTTGACGTTGTTGTTGCCGCTGTGGATGCTGCTGTTGTCGACATTTGATTCGCTCGATTCTTATAACGAAGACTCCCGGTAGTTAAACGTCGAAAACGACTAACACGTTGTTCTTTATCATTAACAGATCCAGTCCTATAGGTTCTGTTATCCGTGTCATTTTCATGTTGAGCAAATTCGACTTTTCTAGTATCTAAATTAGTAGCCATTCAATGTGTGTGTGTATATTACAAGAAATGAAGATGATATAAATTTTGGATATGGTATATCTTTGTGTACAATCACTCAAGGAATACTAATGTCTGAGGTTAATAAGAATTCAGAAAACCACAAACACGTCTCTGACGGCATAGTAACCATAAAAATTGAAGTATCATTAGGGATTTTGTAGTCATAATATATGCCATTCCGCCTTTTTAGAGTTAAATAATGTATCCTCGCTTGAATTTTATATTTATCAAAGGAATATCAGTAGCAGTGACATTGGTGATAATAATAATATTGGTAATAATGTTAATATATCCATTAAACCAATAATGTGTAGATAAATGAGCTGTAAAAATCTCCTTCTCTCTCTATCTCCTCCACTCTCGTCAAAAATATCCTTGCCAATTTCTTAGAACAATTTTGTCAATCTTCATAAATAACACAAAAAAGTCAGCTTAATATCTGGTTGGTTGGATGGTTGGTTGGCTGGCTGACTGGCCAGTTTTATGTCTTTTGCATTTATCTGAAAGGGTATAATATGTAAAAATTAGACAAAAGAAGCGCTTCAAATATAAACCTCTTCCTATTTTGTTATTGGAATAAGTTAAAAGTTAGCAGCCGATTGGACAGCTTATAGTTGGTTGGTTAGTTAGTTTGTAGTTGGTAATTTGGGTTTTAATTCCTTGATGCTTATTGCTTTATTTCTTCTTCTTCTTCTGTTTTAAATGTACAATACAATACAATACAATAAATAATTAACCACCATATGTAAAAAGGTGAAAACTAAAAAATTTATCAAATAGTGATGAGAAGAAGAGTAATCTTTTTTTGAAAAAAAGTATGTATATCTCTTGGCTTCATTCTTCCAACTTCCTCTTCTTTTTCTTCTTTTTAGGTTGGAAGTTTTCGTTTCAAGTTTAATCACGGTTTGATATCATTTTGAGAACCACTGAGAACCAGGCGGTATTGGAGAGCTGTTTCGTACTGGTTTGGAGCTCTCAGCATGATCTGAACCCCAGAGCTTCTGGTTACAAAGCAAGCTAGTTGACCATTCAGTCACTGGGACCTGATTCAATGGCCAGTCCATGAATTCTAACTTCTACTAATTCGGGATTTAAAGGCGCGACCACCAACCAGTGTCATAGGTGGAAAATCCATCTTCACTCCCGACTGGATCCATCTCACTGGTCACGACTTCTCACTAGAACCCCAGGAAACTCTGTCCTGTAGTAAGTCGCTAACGAGCATCAGATTAATTTTCACGAGCTGATTTATAAGGATTTGATTTGTTTATCGAATATGAACACGGATTGATATCAGTTAGAGAATCATTGAAAACCAGGGAGTACTGCCAGACATCTGTTTCCGCCTCCTAGTTTGGGAATTATCGGAAGTACTCACCCACACTGCGGGGTTCAAACCCAGCACCTTCCGGTTACAAGATAAGTTAGCTCGCATACCTTTCATCCACTGGGACTCGACTCAATGGCCTGTGAATTCTAACTTCTACCAATTCGTGATTTTTAGCGCGACCACCAGACAATGTCATCGGTGAGTATTTGTCCACTTGAACTACTGGATTGACCCTCCTAGTCACGACTCCTCTCTTGAACTCCAAGCACCTTTGTTAATTAGCCAGTCATTAGTAAGCATCAGACTGAATTTCCCTACATATTAGCTTTTGAAAACTTTTCATTTGATACCTTAGTTTTCAAATATTCAGTTATATTACTGATATCTTTGCTATCATTTTATCCATGTGTCTCTGTATAGTCCAGTTTAAGTAAGCATATGAAAGTTCGATAATATTTCCCACTCTTAATGAATAATTTGATCGGAATATTTTTTTTATTTGCCAGCAAAAGTGGACTGAATAGTCGATGGACTCACGTCGTAACCGAAGGGTCTTAATTTCAACCGTTGATGACATCTGAAAAGTTCACTGTTGGCATAAAACAACTCTCCAATACTTCCTGATTTCCAGTGGTTTTTTTGACAGATGTAATTTTTACAAAACAACTTGAAAAAGTGACCAAATGATGTTCATAATAATAAAAGCGTCATTCTTTTTGTTCTGGACACATGTGACTTTTTTAAATTTCTCTCAAACAGTACAAAACTTGGTTATTTGGTTCCCACTTGACACCTGCAATACTACTTCGAAAAGCAATGTTGTCAATTTAGTGCAAAAGTATAATTTAGACACTGTGGCAGAGTCGTATTTCATATCGGATAAATTTATTTGATTTAACACCCAGTGGCACATTTATTTATTTATTGATTACAGCTTAATACCACACCGTTGGTAACTGGATGAAGTTTCTAGTACAATTCACTGCTCATAATGTTATTGATGTATTCACAGGACTTCATAATTTGCTTTATGTATCTTTGTCTTTTCCGTATATCCGTTACAGGCGTTGTGTCATTTCGACTGCACTTGTTCAGTGTTTATTTGATGAACACATAACTATATTACGTTATAATACTTAGACCTTGTCACAACATGTTGTGTGATTACAAGCAAGTGAATGCAATGCAGTGGCCGAGAATGTTACATATTGTTAAGCCCACCATCGTCACTTATTCGGGCTCAAACTAAATTTCTATATTTCAATAGTCTAACTGACTCCGGAAAAGCAAGACAAGCTTTCATTACTCTCAAGTCTGTGTGGAGGTCAACAGCACTCAGCATCAAAAATAAGATCCGGATTTTCAACTCCAATGTGAAGTCACTGCTACTGACTGTACGGATCAGAGACTTGCACTGCGCGTCATAAAGAACATCTCAAACAAACTACAGACCTTCATTAACAGTTGTCTTCGCTCAATACTCAAGATCAGATGGCCGGCCAGAAAAGATCAGCAACGAAGATCTCTGGCAATGAGCGAACCAACCAGGAACCAATTGTGCAACAAATAGGCAGGAAGAAATGGAGATGGATTGGCCATACTCTGAGAGAACAAACCATCAAGTGACATCACTAGACAAGCCATTGCTCGAGTGGAATCCGGAAGGGAAGTGGCGAGTTGGTCCTCAGTGCAAGGGTGACTTGGAGGAGGTCATGTGAAGAGGAGATGAAAGCGTGTGGTCAGACTTGGAGCCAGGTGAAGACTGTAGCAGAGAACCGAACACAATGAAGACACACGGCAGAAGCCCTGTGTTCCTCTAGGAATTAAAGGAAATAATAATAATTATTTCTTGACTAGATCTGCCGAGTACCTTAAGACAACAAAGTTTATCTGTGAGAGAGTCGACTGAATTTAAATGCCACCCTAATTCCAGCAGCTTTATTAAGAATCCTACATAGATTTGTATATATTTCTTCTTTAAATGGCTTAACACTATCCAGGCTTTGAATCCCTTATTATTTATATTATATTCACTACCACTTTTATTTTTCCCATGGGTATTCGTGCATTTTCGAATAAATTCCATCGGGTAGTTATTGACTTATAGTGCTTTCGTTATTTATATGAATGCATTATATAAATCTTCTGACTTATTGGTAAGCCTCCTGTCCAGAGTATACAAACATTTAACTAAACCTATCTTTTCTGATTCCGGGTGAGTTGAATTATGCGTTTAAGTATTTCTCAGAATGTATGTTAGTATCTCATCCATCATTCCGTTTTCGTTTGGTTTTATAATCTAACGTAGCTAACTCATGAAGCTCATTTTCTAACTCAAAAGTGGATCTAGTTTCATCTACTACTTATAAAATATGGAATTTAGTCAACTGATGTGTACTTCAGTAGTATATATCAGACACATAAATATCCTTCGTTGTCCCAATGTTACCAGCGTTATAAGCAAAGCGTATATATATATATACTATTACTGAAGGCAATGATAATCCTGGTCGTAAAGTAACTTCAGCTCTCCAACTGTGGAAAACTGAAAGATAGGTAACACTTGTTATTTTTAACATCCTTTTGCTATGGTGTTAACTTGATTGGTCATGAACGGTGTACACTATCCACCTTCATCTACAACCATTGGCAAGCATAATCTTTGCTTTTACCACCAGTGACCTGATTTAAAGAGAAAAAATGAAGAATACTTCAATTAGAAAAGCGTGCGATCAAATAGTTAGTTATTTCTAACCCGCGTTAACTTCGGGTAAATGAGAAAAATTAATGGCCTCACACAGTGACCGTCGTTTTCAAGCCAACAATGCATTGAACAGATCAGATACAAGCAAATTAAAAGACCTTACATGCTGCACAGAGTTTCCATGAGAATGTTGTTACCTGTCCACAAATGAAAACACTACTGACCATTGCACCGTTCTCTATCTGGTGTACAAAAGTAAAAACAGCTAATTAACTTCAGTGAAAACCTTAGTGAAAGGAAGTGGTTCTATTAGAAGTAAGTGATTGAGGTGAGCTCAACACGCATCACTGCAAGTAAAAGTTCCTTTAATGCAAACTGCCTTAGAGTTCACATTATAACCGATAAAACTGATGTGTGATAACTGTGACAGAAATGAAAATCAAATAACAGCATAAGATCATGCCCACCACTGGAAGAGACGTCTGGTTATCCGCCGTTATTGTCAGTTCACGGGTATCGTAGTAACGCCTATCTGTGAAGAAAGCAATGAGAAAACCTATAATTCCAGTCATTCCCCTTAACACTAACTCATACAGCATTGTAAGATCATATTATTATTATTATTTCCTTTAGTTCCTAGAGGAACACAGGGCTTGAGCCGTGTGTCTTCATTGTGTTCGGTTCTCTGCTAGAGTTTTCACCTGGCTCCAGGTCTGCCCACATGCTTTCATCTCCTCTTCACATGATCTCCTCCAGGTCACCCTTGGACGACCAACTCGTCGCTTCCCTTTCGGGTTCCACTCAAGGGCTTGTCTAGTGATGTCACTTGCTGGTTTGCTCAGAGTATGGCCAATCCATCTCCATTTCTTCCTGCCTATTTGTTTCACAATCGGTTCCTGGTTGGTTCTGTAAGATCATAGGAAGGATTACAATCTCAAGTGACGACAACCCATTCTCTCTATCAGAAACATCGTAAAATTACTAACATGGATGGGTCAGCTCAAATTCGTTGGCTTTGTGTTTGATACCACTATATATAACGATAGAGGAGCACTAGTCGATAAAACCCAGAAAAACAAATTTTATTATATCCTGTACTGTAGAAATTGACTTGAATAACGCAGACAATTATGAAAATACTAAGGAATGAACACTTTTTCACTGAAACTGATAATCACAACAACAGGAATAATGTGTTAATTTCGTGGAGCGTGTTATTATTAGTTAGCAAACACT